TAGAGAACCAGACCATAAGCATATTAATAAATACTGGTCCTTTGTCTAATTGGAGTTCAGGAACCTGAAAAGCCCATTCTCCTTAGGAAAGAAGACAGGACAGGAGGTGTAGTCTTGTATGATACACAGCAGATATGGAAAACTGAGCATAAAAACAAGAGGATTGAATTCAATGTAACACACTGAAAAAGTCTGAGACTTGACCAAAATCAAAATTTGCTTCTATGTCTTTAGAACTTCAGGAAGTATACCATATGATTTAGATTGGAAATCAGAGTCACTATTTATTAATTTATTTAAATGTTCTCATGAAAACTTAGTGTCTAAACTAAAAGCTGTGTGGGCTTAAAATATTCATGAACATTAGTTATGTACTAATTAAGTGAAACCCTAGTATCTGGATATCTTTTTTTTCAGCATTAGTTTATGTGGTTTTCATTTTTGTATTGGTAAGGCCACAGCATCAAAATCACAAAAATATAAAATATTTTAAATAAGACCCTTGCATCCAGAACAAAAAAAACTACTAAGCATTTTACTTCCATGGCAACTCTGATGTAACAGGTTCTAAATAGCACTCTCAGAACATGACATTGTTTTTCAACATATGAAATTATTTAATATTTTTCAGGTTCTTCCTTACAACTGATACATGCTGATTAGTGAAATCAATGACGTAAACATCAATGAGAACTAACTTTTGCAAGATAATTTAATTCCATGTGAAATAGTGATCATTACAAGTCAAGATTAAAAGAAAACAACTCTAATTCATTTGTACTAGTGACATTTTTATAAAGATACATGCTATTAAATTTCATTTGGCAATAGTTTATTATGTTCCTATGATGCACAATCTATTAGATACTCAACTCCTTGCTTATCTAACTTTAAATATAGATATGTTTTGTTTATGTAGCTTTACTGTTCTAATACTTCGTGGTCATTAAATTCTAACCCTGTGTACAACTGAAAAGGTTTAAAAGTGAAACAGCTCAATCATAGAAATGCTATAACCCCAAAGCAATGGTTATTGCATTGTCATTTCTGTGAAAGTGGAAGAGCGATCAAGTGACACATAACTTTCTTCAAGCAGGTTCAGCGACTTTCATACTTTCTATTGTAAGTTACCTTTTCTGAATTAAAACCAAAAATCCACTACTCCACTTAATTAGAACATTACAGCTTTTGCTGAAGAGAAAGGCTAAGTGAATGACTCATGCAGAAGAGGCATTAGTTACAGCCCAGTTGATCTTATGAGACTTATGGGACAGTGAAGACCAGATCTACAAAGCTTCTTGAGTATCAGAGTCAAAAATTACAGGTCCTGAAAACTCATCCAGCACTGTCACATAACCTTGGGCATGCTTTAACGTTCAGCACCCTTACTCTTGTAGTTATTTATCAGCCCATGAGGACTTAAGCATTCCTGAAAGCATTTCACTAGAGCAGGATGAGAGGAAATGGCCTCAAGTTGTGTCACGGGAGGTTGACACTGGATATTAGAAAAAATTTCTTCACTGAAAGAATGAGCAAGCATTGAAACAGTCTACCCAGGAAAGTGGTGGAATAACCACCCCTGGAAGTGTTCAAAAAACATCTAAATGTGGTACTTAGGGACATGGTTTAGTCATGAAGATGGCTGTGCTAGGTTAATGGTTGAACTCGATGATCCTAGGTCTTTTCTAGCCTTAATGACTGTATGATTCTGTAACTGTGCAGCTCAATTCCTATCTTGCACCATAATTAAAATTTATTTAATTTATCCTGAAAATTGTAATGAGTAGATCACAGACATCTGTTGAATCCTGTTCCCTAAAGTGCAAAAATGAAGACTAGTCACATTAAAAAAAAAAAGGTGGATATTTTTCCACAATAAGCATAGGAGAAATTATTTCTGTTATTATAAAACAGCAAGGCATTGAAATGTGCTTTACTGCTCCAAAAGAAATTAACCTCAAGAAATTAAAATGTTATCTAGCAAGTTTTAAGCATTCAGTAGTCAATTTAGGAAATGCTAAGGACTTAAAGGAGAGAGTTTTTAGCTCTGAAGATCAAGAACCGGGATTTTATTGCTGCTATTTACATATTTTATATATATATATATATGAATATACCATATACATGTGTGTACATATATATATATATATACACACAGAAGTTATATGATTATGTAAAGAATTTTTATTAAATGTAATTTTCTACAATACTCATTCCTAAGTAACATGAAATTAGAGTAAGTCCACATGTTTGGAAGAAAAGATTTGAGCTTGTATATTTTGTCTAAAAACTTTATTAATTCTACTTTCAATCAATGGTCAATTAGTACAGAGACTGGAATAAGTTATTTTTAAGCATATATACAAATAAAAAGATAAAAATGATAAAAAATCTTAATAAAACCTAAAATTATTATTCTGAAGTTAGAGCTCCTTCTTTGAGTGTTATTAAAGTTGTGTGAGTTCATTAAATGTGTTTCACCATCACAATGCTTCTCTATAATATTAGGTCTTTGTATTAATATGCTATTGCAAAGTTTGATGTTGGTTCCTATTAAGTAGAGTAATATTTTTTTCATAATGAAATTTAATGTCAGTTTAACCAGGTTTAATTAAACTTTGGCTTATAAATCATTTTATTGAGAAGTGCAATGAAATTTTCTGAGTTTTATGGCTTTTTAATTAAAATTAATTAAGCCAACCTGTGGTTAAGTGCCTGCAAACTGGTTCCCTTACATTTCCAAGCTATCGCGCACTGTTCTAGTCACACAATTTATCAGGAGTTAGTGGATTAAAAAACCATTACATAAAAATCTATTTTTTTAGGGACATATTGACATTTAAGCAAATAATTTAAAAAAGAACTGACTCATGTTTTAACCCAATTATCTCTTACATTAAGATAAGTTAAGAGCGTGATTAATACAGTCCACGACCACATGAACACCTTTGATTGTCTTTGTGTCAGCATCCTACTTTGCATATATATGTAAAGTTAAAAATTAACTCATTGAAAGTTATATTTTACATATAAAAGTATTTACATTCATAGTAATAAGCATAATTTTCGGCTTTATCTAATTTATTCTATTTGCACTTATGTATTTCATCTGTAATTACATTACATATTTCAAAGAACTTCTGTCTGTCATGATTTTGTCATGTCTGTGTCTTCATTATTAATCTCTGCTACCTTATGTAAAATAATATGCAGTTAATTTTTAATTAATTTGTTTAAGCAGTAAATTTCAAAAATTATGAAGTTGGAGAATTGAAATAGGAATTTCCTTCTATCGCATGGGATAGAGGAGGACAGCATGTGACACACTAGAGCCAGAGTATAATTCTGATGTTATAAATCTTGCACCTTTTTTTTCCTGCATTTGTTATAATGGCCCAGACCCAAACAAGCAATTATAGACAGCATTGATTTGGATTTTGATATGCTAAGAACTGAATCAAGCGGGTGTAGCAGTCGAAGTATCCACTTCCCTGAGTTTTGATGTTCTTACACTTCATGACTGAAGTTTTGTCATTCCTTCCCTGCTTCTTGTCTTACTCTGACAAAGTCTATCCAAAATAGCATGAAATTCATTATTATCTTTTATCTATTAGATGCTATAACTTACTGCTCCTTTTATTACTTTTTGAATTTTTTTTGGTTTATATAAAAAATAAGGGTTTTTTTCATGTGCCTCCAGTATACAACTAGTTCACATTCATCTCAAAATTGTCTATGAATACAGAATTTTTAATTTCTCCACAGAGATTAGGCACTTAAAAAAAAAAGTTTGGAGAAAAATACCCTGCAAAACTGTGATTCTATTGTGTCCTGTTAATGTAGAGTAGGTAGTTCAGAGAGTGCTTAATTCAATCCTTAGGATTCAGTCAACCAAATGAAATCTTTTTGTTTAGTTTATAAGTTTTATGTAACTTATATAGTTTTTGTTTATTTTTTTTTCCTATCAGCCAAGAAAAGGTTAATTTTTTGCAGTAGGCTGGAGGGGGCATAGCTAAGAAACAAGGGTTATTCTGTACCACCTCAGGTCATTGCTGGGGGCGGGGCAAAGGGAATCTCTTGAGAGGAGAAGGAGTTCCATCAGTCAAGTGAATGAGGTGGAGGGAGCTGTTCAGTATTGTCTATTGTCGGGGGGCGGGGGGGGAGTTCCTTTCTTGTATCCTCTCTCATTAGTACTGTTGCTGTCATTGTTCATTTTCTTACCTCATTGCTGATTCCAGTAAATTGTTCTTATCTCAACCCCTGAGTTTCACCTTTTGTACCTCCAGTTCTCCTTTTCAGCCTGCCCCAAGGAGGGGGGAGAGGGGAAAGGCAGGGGAGTGAGAGAGCAGCAAGTGGTTTGCAGAGTCTTGATGGGAGCACTGAACTGCTGAGTACCATTTCTAAACCATGATGGTATTATAAATTTTAATACTGTGAGACCTTAATTGCTGTATACATTTTGAATGTTAACTGGACATTAACAATCTGTTCTAAACAAGTTCAAGAAATAATGCTAAGTTCGGGTGTTGATCTTCCTCTCAGCCTTGTCATGTATATAAACTGACATCATCTGGATATTGATAATATAACTGTATATGACCGACAAGTTTTTTAAGAAATAGATCAGACAGTGAAAAAACACAGGAAAATGTAGTATGTCCATATAAAGATTTACAATATATTGAATATGTTGAATTACAACTGAGTTTATAAAAATTTCAAACAACAGCCTTTACTAGTTCTGACAATTCTTAATTACAATATTACCATATAGTCTTCATATTTTTCTCTGAATATATTTATATATGAATTGCGACTACAGCTGTTGAACTCATCCGTGGTTTGTTTTTCTCATGAGCTGTAAGAATATGGCACAGCATACCCATGTCCATGTATGGCAGATACAGGCTAATTCTGTGGTCTTATTAGCTTTAGCATCTGTTTTTTCTTTTCTGAAATATTACTGAATTACTGAATCTGAACTACTTTCTTCTTCTCAGGAGAATATAATGGAAGTTATAAGAAATCAAGAATTTTTACTTCTACCAGCTGAAGAGCTGCATAAACTTCTGGCTAGTGATGATGTGAATGTTCCTGATGAAGAGACCATTTTCCATGCCTTAATGATGTGGGTGAAGTATGATATGCAGAGGCGATGCAATGACCTAAGTATGCTACTTGCTTATATCAGATTACCACTCCTTCCACCTCAGGTATTTTTACAGTTATGTAATAATAATAATAATAATAACATTGTTATTGTGTTATTGTGAAAACTGGCATCAGTTTATAATCTGCAATACTCTAATACTCTGTTTAAAAGAAAACCTGTTCAGAATTAGAAAAAATTATTGATAGCCCTTAACCCTGAGTGATCTCAATAAATTTGAGGAATGGGCCAACAGATATGCAAGAAAGGCAGAGCTGTGAAACTGGAGGAGCAACAGCAGATTTCATAACATGCTAAGAATGATAGACAGAATAGCAAATATTCTCAGAAAAAAAACAACCAAACAAAAAAAATAATCAAACACATGGGGCTTATGATGGATACCAGGCTGAGTATGAGTCAACAGTATGAATGAGGAAAACTGTATATTGTTCTACAGCAGGAAAAATTCTGTCAGCAAACCATATGAAGTTATTATTCACATAATACCTGGTGCTGCTAAGTCTGCACCTGAAATATTGTTTCCAGTTTTGCACTCCACAATTCACAAGGCATAGGAACAAATTGGAAAAGGTCCAGAGATGGGCTACCAAGATGGTATATCAGCTAGGAAAGGAGAAGCTGAAGAAATGGTCTAGCGAAGAGGAGGCTAAATGATGACCAAATAGCAACTTAAGACTTGAAGGGAAGGTCATGGAACCAAATTCTTGAGAGCACCACAAAATGTAAGAAGAGGCAAACAGCCCAACTTGTAGCATGGACAGTTCAGGTTGGACATTGGCTTGAGGGGAATCACTTGGAATGCAGTGAACAAGTGCAGATGATTTTTCAAAGTCTAAGTGATCTTCTTCATTGAAGGTTTTCCTGAATTCCTAAATCCAGTATTGGCACTGATTTGAGTGAGAAGTTTATCTAGTTGGTCACTGAGGTCCTCTAGATCTCCCTTCCTATAAATGCTTCCATGAATCTGTGATTCAGGCTTCAGTTTTCTTTTTTTTCTTCCAGACAACTAAATAGCAATTTTCTTCCATTTTTCCATACTATCATTCTGTTTCCAGCTAGTGTACTGGGTCTGGCTGGAGTGGAATAAACTTTTTTCATGGCAGCCCCTATGGTGCTGTGCTTTTCTCTTATGGCTAAAACAGCGTTGGTAATACACATGTTTTGGCTTATTGCTGAGCAGTGCTTATACAGCTCAGAGGATTGAGTGGTTTTGTTTTGTTTTACATTCCAATATAAAATGTTCAAAGGAAATAGTCAAATATGACAATTTTAAAGGTTTCCTTGTCAAAAATGAGCTTTTTATTTTTCAACATCTGTGCCAATTGAGAAGGTCACACACAACACTATGCATAATTGCAGCATTCAAAGTGGTTTGTTTTTTTTTAATCTGCCAAGCACTTTAAAAAAAGTTTCTTAAGTTGTTCACACAGCATTCTCACCTCTAGCTCTTATTGTGTAGAATGATCATGAAAGCTTTGTTGGTTACTGGTCTCTGCACTAGTTCTGAATAATAATTTTCTTTATAATAATATAATTTTCTTTATAATTTATGAATTTCTTTATAATTACTATCTTCAAGATCTACCAATAAGTTAATGAGTTAAGTGAGGCTATTGACAGTAGTCAGATGAAAGGAGTACAACTGTTTTGTCTGTTCTGTGAATTGCTGAAAATTATGAAAAAATTAAAAAGTTTCCTTTTCAATAGTCTTATGTAAATTATCAGGTTATGTATGTATGTATGTATGTGTGTAAGGTATGTAATGGTCTCATTCTTATCTAGGTTCCCTTTCTCATGAAAGGCTGGACCAGAAGATCTTTCAATCACTTCCAACCTGGGCTGCTCTGTGGTTCTATGATTCTATGGTTCTGTGGTTCCACAGTATATAAAGTATCTGTTGAAAAAACTTAAAGGCGAAATTTCAAACTACTTTTATATTCATAAGCTTTAAACCTACTACAGATTCTAAATATATGGCTCACAAATTTAGCTGCGTTCGTCCAATCAATAGGGATTTTACTACATCTAGACATGCCTTACTTTGCTTACCCCTGAACTGCTATTTGCATGTAAACCAGTGATCCCAAAATTACCAAGCTGAGTGTTTTAGCTCTTTATCCATAATGTTAAAGGCAATTCCCTGTATAATTGTTGTTTCACATGATTGACACTTACCTATACACTCCTAAAACAGTTGTGTTAACCTGAAAATTAATTCCATTGTGTATCTTTCAGAAAATTTCTCTGTCATTTTCATTGCACTGAGAAATAACTGAAGAGCTCTCTGGAAAGGAGCCAGGTCAAAATTAGCAGCTAATGATTGAACCTTTGAGAAAAAAAAATTGAGTTCCTTACTTTTGAATTCACTAAAAAAGATGAAGTCATAGTCTACAAGGATTATTAACAGTTTGGAAAGATTGTACTGAGATCCTCTTAAAATGAATGTTTAAATTTATAGCCTGAGTTTTCTTGATACCTCATTTCAGTCTCCAGGTGCTGTAATTATGTTGGCAATGTAGTCAGACTTAAGTAGTACGATATCAAACAATGTAATTCATAATTCAATAGCAGAATTATCAGAAGCTAAGCAGTATTAACATGTTAAAAGGAAAGTATCATGAAGATGAAAATGAAATAATAGAACCTGCCATGTTACCATAGAACTTTTTTGCTCCTTTCATTTGCCTGAAACAATCTGCTAAACTTTAACAGTTTATGTTTCTTCGTTCAAGTCAAACTAAGAAAGATTGGTGGCTTGACCAATATAAGAAATCGCTTCACATTTAGTCACTTCCTTTCAATAGGCATTGCAGATATTTTATGTTGGTCCATACAGAAAACATATCTTAATTTATGCTTATTTCACTTTCCTTGACTTACTGACAATAGTTTGTCTAATGCAGCTCAAGATGTCAGCTGTCTTCTTTGAGACATGGGCACGGTGCTGGCTCCTGTTCTGACAAGCTACTTTCCAGCTGGGTGGCCCCCAGCCTATATTAGTTCATGAATGTACATACATATACACATGGACATAAACATATACATTCATTTGATTCTTTTATAGTAGAATGTTCTTATAAACCTTTTCCTTAAAGGTGAAATTCCACAGTTGTGGACAGATATATTCATTCAGGTCTGATTACAATAGCTAAAGGTGTTCCCACCTAGCTCCCTGATGACATGTGATATAGTGATTGCTGTCCCCACACCTCAGGGAGCAAAACAGTTCATTTAAACCCTCACTAATTCTACACAGACAAAAGTCTAACTTTGTCTGCACTTGAAGCTAGAACATTAACTTCTGGCCATGAAGGCAAACAGTATAGAGAAGTTTATATCTATTCAGCTGTATTTTCCTTATCTTTCTCTCTACCTTTTCCAAAACAGAATAGTTTCTTCTGTGTTTGTATTTCCTATTCCCTGTCTCAAGCTGTATCTAGAAACATTCAGTGCAATTCATCAGCATGTTTGAGCCTCTGCGTATTTTGATTACTAATGATGTAATCACATTTATTAAGATGAAAAGCTGGTTTCTGCTGTTTGTCTATACGCAGTGTAATGTATCTGTTAATGTTGAGCCTACAGCATGAGCTAAAAATGTATGCATCTTCTATTGGGCAAAACATTATTTCATGGTGTTTTTTAAGAGTGCAAGAAGTTCCTAATGACACTTGGGCTGCTGAAGGAATTTACAAGCAAAAGTTAGAAGTTAACATATGATACAGAGTACCTGGAATAGCATGACAGTAAAGAGTGAGGATGTTACACTTTAGGTTTCAGTGTTTCTCAGCAAAGATGTGCATGATATAAAGACCACAAATATTTCCTTGTAGAAATGGTTAAGTTAAAGATAACTTGTACTCCACCAGTGTGCTATGTTTATAATGGCCATTCTTTCCAGCTGTTTGTAACAGCAGATCACTGGTTAACTGGGAAACTTAAAAATAGCATAGGGTAAAACATAGGTGTTACTGCCTTTTCCTCTGCAACACTTTAAATGATATCACTTTCAGAGGCTTTGCGAATCACATCAGTAGAATAATGCATAGTCTTTGAGTACTGTGACTGTGGCTCAGATTCAGTAAATCTAATATAGGCATCTAAATTAGATTTCTTGCCCAGGAGCAGAAACAATGCAGTCCTTATAAAATGAAGTACTTAAATACCCTGTAACTCACTGGAGAGAAAGTGAATGGGTCCACATGGGTCCTGTTCTTACTTATACAGAGATGCTGTAGGTAACCTGTAGGAAATGCTAAGCCTCTAAATCCCCTTAGAATGCACACATTACATCTGACTGTACATGATTTTATGAATTTGCATGTAGTAATGGTGTAGAAGCCCTTTAAATCCTAGCTTGGATATCTGACATTATGAGGCAAACTTATAAATTCCTTCTCCAGTTCAACTAGCATTTGGCAAAGAGGTACTGCCAAAAAAAAAGCAAATTAACCAGGCAGTTGTCATCGAGTTCTGACCTCTTCAGTATATATTGAGCTAGATGAAACAACTGAAAGTTCCTTTGCTTAGCAAAAATGGAGGGAATCATTCTATGTCAATCAATCTTTAAATTTCTTCTTCAGAGCAGTGTGATTGATAATACGAAATGAGAACCTTTTTCATTTCATCTAACCACCTCTAGCATCACTAAAGAAGTTCAGCTTATAAGAATTTGCACCTGACTAGAGTTCTAAGCTTTTTAGAATGGTTCTTCCCTACTGGTCTGAGGTAAAGGCGAAGTATGTGCATATATTCAGTCATACTCTACAACATTTTGTGAATTCTTTCAATCATTTCTGGATGAACTACATACCAGGAGATTATAACTTGAATCTGAAAAGACTAAAGGTATGATACAGCTTCTTATTCAGCTTTGTGTTTCCACATCAGCTGTATTCCTAACCTCCCACTATAGGCAATAAAGATCTAGTGCACTTTCCAACACATAGGAACAAACCTGTGTGCTGATTTGAGAGGTTCCATGATCATGTTTTCTGGGTCCCAGCAGATTATCTGGAAGCATTCCTTCATAAATCCAGT